AATATGTCTTATTTAGATAGACTAAAATACCCTTGTTTACTGATTAATGCATAAAAAGTGTTCGAGAGTTAATAAGAGTATAATTGAAAAATATGTAATTAATGCAGCATTGGAATTATAAAGTGACATATAATATAGAGAAAAAAAATCTTAAAAGAGACAATTATTGTGGAACAGATGGAGTACTTTTACTTTTATTATTTTTAATTAACTTTAATTTAATTTATTTATATAAATCATAAGCTAAAAGAAATGCGCGTAATTTAGAACAAAGATCAATTAATTCCAAAATTGCCTTCAAATGTCATTATTATTATTTATTTTAACAAACTTAAGAATACTCTGTTTTTTTCAAGAGCCATTTAACATGGATGCAAGTCAATGAAAAAAAAAAACACTATCAAATCGTTGCAATTGATGTTCAATCTAGAAGAGAAGGAAAAGATCTTAGAAAAGTACTGGGCTTTTACGATCCAATGAAGTAGAGGTGGATTCGGTACGGTTGCCAAACATTTTGCTCGCTCAATATCGTGTACCTATCGAACAGTGCGGTATTGACAAATTCCGTACCGTTACCGTACCAAAACGCTAAAAAGTAACAATGTCCCAACTCTACTAAAACCACATCTAAAATTAAAGAGGTTTTAGCATCCGGCACGCGTATGTAATGTCTAATGGCTAAAAAAACTCAATATGTTAAAACAATTAGCACATACCCCCTTTTGTTGCATAGTCAACGACATTAAGGGCCCTACGAATTAGCCGTTTGATACACTCGCCAAATATGCGACTGGGGTTCGATTTTTTGTCGTGAAAAAACTCAAATACCCTTTACATTATAAATTTAAAAAATAGCCCCAGATAAAATTTTCAATTTTTTCAATTCAGTCCCTTGAAGTTTCACAAAAATCCTCTTCTCCAAAATCAGGGGACTGAATTGCTTACCGAAAAACCCCCCAAAAAAACCCACCTCAGCCATCCGCCGCTTCTCACCACCACCAAGCAGTGTCTCAACCCTTCTGCACCGCCCCACCACCACCACATCTTTCAGATCTGCCTCCCACAACCGCAATCTAGACGGGTTTGCAATTAGAGCGGGGACGGCTGATGATTGGTCGCTCTTCTCCCAATTGAGCTGCCCCATTCCGCGGCGCATGTGTGCGGCGATAGGCAGTGAGACCGAGCAGCAAAAATGAAGGCCCAAAAAATGAGTTTCTTCCACCATCATCACCTTCGTACGATGGCAGCGGCCGTTCTTGGAAGCAGAGGCATTGTTGATTGTTTCTTCGTAGTTTTCGGGCCATGGTTTCTTAGAAGATTGATATGCCTATTGGCCCAGCCCAATAGACCCATATTTACTGGGCTATTTTGGTTGGAGGGATATGCGCTGATGGATCTTCCAATCCAGTGGGTTCTCAGACTTGGTTCACTACAAACGGATCTAGGATGGATCCTGGGCCCGGGTCCAAATCCGCCAAATATAGGATCCTCCATCCCACCGTCTGAGGTGAGATAAGCTAATCTCGTCCGTCTTTCACAAACCCGCTAAGTTATTTTACTTTTTTGCCCTCACAATCCACTCGTAATTACAATTCTATATACCTGGTATATATACAAATTACATCCCCAATCTGCTGAAGCCCTAGCCTCGTCTCCTCCGTCTTCGTTCTCTTTCTCCTGCAAATCATAGATTTTCCCCTCCGTTGTTATGATTTATCTAATACCGTTTTACTTGTACTTTTTAGGAGCTGATTCCACTGTCGGTGGTGATGGTACTCCTCGAAGTCCTCCATTACTTCGTGTCTAAGCTCATGCGCTCCGATCAAACTCCCGATGTCAAAATTGTCAAACAAGGGTAATTTCTTATTCGTTTTTTGCTATTTGTTCGAGTACTGGCGCGTAATAGTGTATGGCGATTTATTTAATCTGCGAATTGGTTTTTTTGTTTCACAGGCAACTGATAATTAGGAATTTAGGGCACAGAATCTGAGGGCGGCCGCGAATTTCATCCCTGTTAAGTCGTTTCGTGCTCGTAAGAACTACTACATCAACGAGGTGAGAAATTGTATTCTCAATGTGTTTTTCCTACTGGTGCTTGTGGTTTAGTTGAGATTATAGACTCGAATTTATGTTTTTGGGGGTGATTTAAGTATGGGGTGATTAGTTGAATATTCTTCTTTAGGTCTCGGTAATTAGTTTTAAGAACACCAGTAAGTGTAGTTAAGATTAGATTAAGAAAGAGAAAGTGAATATTATCAAGAGTAAGCAAATAGAACAAGTGAAGCATGTTTGAACCTCAAACTCTGCTGTTTCTTAACAGTGGAATTATTTCTGGACATATATATATTATACACTTTCTATTTATTGTTATGCCCTTCTGAGTGGGTGCTAGCCACGAATGAGTTATGCAATCGTTACTAAATGGGAAACATTTGTAATTGAAATTGCAGGAGAACGGTTTATTACACATGCCTAAGGGCCAAGCTCAGAATCCACAGGCACAGATCTTCTCCGATCCAACTTCCAATTTTCTCTTGTATCTACTTCCCTTTCGGTTAAGGTTTATCTACTAAATGTGAAAACATTTCACGTAGCTTTTTGTGGGAAATGATCAAAAGGAATTTCTTTCGAGTTTTCTTTTTCAAGAATTTGCTTTCAAGGCTTAGGTCTTGTTAATTGTAGTGTCTGCATATAATTTTGGGTAGTGCTAATTGCATAATAGTTCATTTATAGAAGAAGGAATTATAGAACTTTTGATTTAAATAATGCATAATTTGTTTCAAGAGTTGCAGTTGATGTCATTCTCTATAGGGAATTCTTTAGATCTTTTTCTATCTCACTTTAGGGATGTTGACACGTGTGTTGTATTTGTTCATATGTACTCAGGTTCACCGAGCATGACTAAGGTGACAAAATTGATGTTCTTGTGAAGGCAAGAGAACTTAAGTGTCAGCTTCTCGTCTTCGCATGGTTACTGGTTTAGTTGTCTTATCATTGTAGGTGAGACTGATATCTGCAGCTTCCAAGCTTTTGTTTTGCCTTGTACATGCCAAAGACAGAAAATGGGGTTATGGTTTGAAAGATCCTCGAAGGTCGCTCCTTCGGATAGGTAGACTACCATCCACTCACAAGGCGAAGAAGAAGTTTTCCGTGTTCGGATATCATTTTGCGGCGTTAATTATATTTAAGACATTTTATTTCTTCTTTAATTTAATTTTGTGATGGACATTATAGTAGTCCACTTGTGTGTCACAAATATAAATTTTCTGTAATATGGCATATTATTTTACGTAAATTTTCTACAAGTATTTTGTTGAAGTTTCTGTTAGTTTGGAGCTAAAATGTCTAATATGGCTTCCAAATTTTTTTGTTATATATATATAATGACATCTAACTGTTATATTAATGTTCATTTTTCCAATAATAAACACAAATTATAAATTACAACACAGTAGAATGGGTGGTGCAACCAATATTTTACAAATTGACAGGTGCAAGTGGTGGTAATGTAATCATCCGAAAATGTTAGGGTTGATTTTATAATTACAGGAAAATGGGAGGAAATAATGGGTGGTGCAACCAATATTTTACAAAGTGCCAGGTGTATTATATAATAATATAAAGGGCTTGCAAGGGGTGGTAATGTAATTATCCGAAAATATTAGGGCTGATTTTATAATTAAAGGAAAATAGGAGGAAAGAATGGGTGGTGCAAGAAATATTTTACCAAAAATGGTAGGGTTGATTTTATAATTAAAGAAAAATGGGAGGAAAGAATGGGTGGTGCAAGCAATATTTTCAAAATTGACAGGTGTATAATATAATAATAAAAAGGTTTGCAAGTGGTGTTAATGTAATTATCCGAAAATGTTAGGGCTAATTTTATAATTAAATGAAAATAGGAGGAAAGAATTGATGCAGCAAGCAATATTTTAAAAATTGACAGATGTATAATATAATAATAAAAAGGGCTTGCAAGGGGTGGAAATGTAATTATCCGAAAATGTTAGGACTGATTTTATAATTAAAGGAAAGTGGGAGGAAGAATGGGTGCAGCAAACAGTATTTTAAAAATTGGCATGCGTATAATATAAAAATAAAAAGGCATTTCCAGGGGTGGTAATATAATTAACCAAATTATCCCACCCAATCCTCCTAACCATTCCTGAGTTTGCCTGTTCGGATTCAATCCCACATATTCGTATCCAACCAACCCAACCCGATATACCATCCATATTTTACTAATCCATACAGTGTATTTTCAATATGAACCCCCAATCCCATCCCAACCCTTCCCTCCAACCAAAAGGGGCCTTAGAAGATTGATATGCCTATTGGCCCAGCCCAATAGACCCATATTTACTGGGCCACAGGCCCAACTTAATAGCTATTTATACGAAGGCCCAATCACACCCAAAGAAAGTTGGGCCTGATAAATTGATCTCGGCCCAATCAATAAAGTGTAAATACAACTTAAATTCATTTAATAAAGGTACGTTATTATTATTCCCTCAATTCTTCTATTGGAATTCTCTCCACAATTACCAACTATCTTCACGTCTGACTTGAGCGTCGGAGGGGTTTCCGCCGGATCAACCCCCGGCTTAGATTACGTGTTTTCTGTTCGCAGGATCCTAGAGTAAATTAAAGTTCTCAGGACTATCTAGCTCGTGAGCACGTGACCTACTTTGCTCTCTCAGCTTCAACACACTAGGTGATTTATTTTTTACGTCATCATTTTGGCGCCGTCTGTGGGAATGCAGACCAGATCACGTTGCCAGCAAGATCCTCCTGAGTCCACTCGGTGAGAGAGTGACACAGCTAACAACCTCCCAGTTCGAGGAGGCTCTGGCTTACCACCTCCTCCACGTGCTCCGGATCCACCACGCGAGGTTCAGGTGATTCCCCCTCGGGACCCACCACTCGCCGATCCTCCACTACAGGCTCCACCTCTACCTGCTTCTCGAACGGTTCAAATAACCGAGGAGGCACTCCAACGAATGATAACAGAAGTTTCTACTCGCGCCGCCACTGATGCGGTGGCGCAATACATCGCCACGATGGCAGCAAACGCTCCCCCTGCGATCCCAGCAAACGCTCCCCCCGCGATCCCAGCTAATGCTCCACCCGCAATGCCACCCAGGGTACAGCAACCAGCCCAGAACAATGACGATCGGATAAGTGTATCCTCATCCACCTCAGATCCAAGATCCCGGATGCAGCTATCTACCAATCACAGGGAGCCACAACCCAGACAACAACGCCACCATTCACTCCAACGGGGTGATGCATCTCTACGAAGAGCTCATATCTTTAATGAAGGGGAAGACGAGATAAATAGTAGAGTATCTCGCCAAAACCAGTTCCCCAGATTGAACAACCCAATTGACGGAAGAGCGCCAGTCCCAACAAGGCGCAGTCCTTTCACCTTGAACATCCTCAACGAGGTATTGCCTCAAGGAGTGAAAGTATCAGGCTTACCTCAGTTCGAAGGAACTACCGACCCGCAGGAACACATAGAGAAGTTCCACGCTATGGCAGATTTATATGGCCCAACAGATGCAGCAATGTGCAAGATGTTCCGCACTACTCTTTCCAAGAGAGCCATGAATTGGTTCAATGCTCTGCCCACAGGATCAATTGACACTTTCGCTCAGTTATCATTGCGCTTCACCAACCAATTCGCCATCAATAAGCAATATGCTAAAACTCCAGCACATCTCTTCTCTATTGTACAGAGAGACAATGAAACACTCCGCAACTACATCAGGCGTTTCGTGGAGGCTGTTCATGAAGTCCCCAGTGTAGGACAAGATATGCTCTCAGGGATTATGCAACAAAACCTGAAGTCGGGTAGGTACAAAGAATCTATCGCAGGAAGACCTCCTGGCAACTTAGATGAGTTGTTAAATCGAGCTGAAAAATACATACGTATAGAGGAAGCTTCTGCCAATGCTCCTCCCAAGAGGAAGAGAGAAGATGACCGCCCGGATATTAGGAGACGAGATGATCGACGTCCTCCACCCCCGCCTCAAGGCCAATCATCTTCAACTTATAATCGATTCACTCCACTCAATACTCGCCTCACTGAAATACTTCATGTGATTGAACAAAAAGGTCTGGCAGAGCCTCCACGCCCAATGCAACCCAATGCGAAACGAGAAAGATCGGATCGCTATTGTCGATTCCACAAAGATAAAGGGCATACTACCGAGGAATGTGCGCAACTTAAATTGGCGATTGAGAGGTTGATCAAGCAAGGCCACTTGAGCGAATACATTGATAAGCCTCGAAATAAGCGCCGCGATGATCTTCCACGCCGAGATAACAATAGAGATCAACAACAGCGACGAGAGGAGGGGGGTCATCGGCGCGATCCAGATAACAATGATAACCAACCCACCCGAGGAATCATCTCCTTTATCTCCGGAGGACCGGCAGGTGGCGACTCACAAAATGCGAGACGCACCCTCGCTCGATCAACACGTATGAATCAAGAACATGCTTCCCCATCCGCATCCGTCTATCAAATACGAAGACCTGATCATGGCATAGTCTTCAACTCCTCGGACCTTGAAGGTCCAGATGAAGATCATGTCGATGCGTTGGTGATAACAGCAACTGTGGCCAACTTCATAGTTAAAAGATATTAGTGGACGGTGGGAGCTCAGCCGATATTATGTATCTCCACACATTCAAGCAGCTAGGCATAGATAACGCCCGGTTCAGTCCCATCACTACACCACTGAAAGGATTCACGGGAGAAGGTGTTTTATCCATGGGGGAAGTAGAATTACCCATCTCCTTAGGGGAAGATCCTTGTCGAGTAACGAAAATGATAAAATTCCTTATCGTCGACAAACCATCCCCTTTATAACATCATCGTGGGAAGGCCCGCGATCCATACATTCAAGTCTGTGCCTTCATCTTACCACCAAAAGTGGAAATTCCCCACTTCTTATGGGATGGGAGAGGTACTTGGAGATAGGCGTCTCGCTCGAAAATGTTATGCAAGAGCTCTACGTGAACCATCTAAGAGACCTAATCATTTAGGGAAAGGAGACGACACCCCGAGACAAGATAAGCGAAAATGGGTCAACGCGGTCATCGAAGCTGATAAAGAAATCCTAATCAGCGTACCCGACGACACCGCCAAGCTAGCCGCAGTTGAAGAACTAAAATCAGTAGAACTCATACCCGGAGATAATTCTAAGCTTCTCCGCATCGGCTCTGATCTAGATCAAGAAGTGGAGAATCAGCTAGTTAACTTCCTTAGACACAATGGGGACGTTTTTGCTTGGAAAGCTCAGGATCTGACGGGAATACCTCCCAAGGTAGCATTGCATCGACTAAACGTTGACAAGAGATTGAAGCCGGTCAAGCAACGTAAAAGGACTTTCGGTCCTGAGCGCAACAAACATATCAAAGAGGAAGTGGCAAAACTCTTAGATGCAGGCCACATTAGATCGGTTCGGTATCCCGAGTGGTTATCCAATGTGGTATTAGTACCTAAACCCGGAGGCAAGTGGAGGCTATGTGTAGACTTCACCGACCTCAACAAGGCATGCCCGAAAGATCCATTTCCCTTACCAAGGATCGACCAGCTCATAGACTCAACCTCAGGGTGCGAACTTCTCAGCTTCCTCGATGCATATCAAGGATACAATCAAATATTGCTCGCCCCAGAAGACCAAGAGAGAGATAGTTTCATTACAGACCAAGGCATCTACTGCTATCGAGTCATGCCGTTCGGTCTCAAGAATGCAGGAGCTACTTACCAACGCCTAGTAAACACGATGTTCGCGGACTTGATTGGTAAAAACATGGAAGTATACATTGATGACATGCTCGTCAAGAGTATTAAAGTCGCGGATCACCTAACCGATTTAAGTCAATGCTTCTCCATCTTACGTAAATACAAGATGAAGCTCAATCCCCTAAAATGTTCGTTCGGAGTTCGAGGCGGAAAATTCTTAGGGTACATGATATCACAACGGGGAATTGAAGCCAACCCAGCAAAGATTGAATTTATCACCTCCATGGCCCCTCCTACTTCGATTAAGAAGGTACAACAACTTAACGGTTGTTTGGCAGCCCTAAATCGATTTATATCCCGATCGGCTGATAAGGGTCTTCCTTTCTTCAAGATACTAAGAGGTGGGAAAAAGTTTGAGTGGAATGAGGGCTGCCAAAGAGCTTTCACAGAATTGAAAGCATATCTCACTTCCTCACCTCTACTCACGAAGCCCCAGCCAGGAGATACTCTCTTCCTATATTTGGCTATTTCTGCTGATGCCATTAGCGCAGTGCTCATTCGGGATGGTGAAAAAGGCCACCAACCGATATATTACATAAGCCGAGCTCTCCAAGGCCCAGAGCACCGTTGCACCAATATGGAGAAACTTGCTCTCGCTCTCATCAATGCAGCCAGAAAGTTACGTCTGTACTTCCAGTCGCACCAGGAGATAGTTCTCACCAACTATCCCCTCAAACAAATATTGAGAAGTCCCGAGACTTCCGGGCAATTAGCTAAGTGGGCTATAGAGCTAAGTGAATATGGGGTTGAGTTCAAACCACGCCCAGCCATCAAAGCTCAAATCCTAGCAGACTTTATAGTAGAGATGACTACCTCGGAGGAGAGCACCTCTATACCCACTTGGACTATCAATGTCGATGGATCATCTACCGCTACAGGGGGAGGCGCGGGTATTCTATTAACAAACCCAGATGGAGATGAATTCGAGTATGCTCAACGGTTTGATTTCAAAGCCTCCAATAACGAAGCCGAATATGAAGCTTTGATCACTGGTATCCGCCTCGCTTTAGCAGCTGGAGCTCGCAAACTCATAGTACACAGCGACTCCCAGTTAGTGGTCAACCAAGTCCTTGGGAACTATGAAGCCAAAGAAGAATCCATGGCAAAGTACCTTGCTCTTGCACTTTGTTGGTCGAAAACCTACACGCAAGTGCACGTATCGTACAAGTAATATAGTGGACTAAAAGTCCGGATATCGAACCCACAGGGAATATTTAATTATCTAATCCTAGACGCTAAATTCTACCAATTATTATCAAGCCCACCCTACACAGTCGACTTTAGAGAGAATTAACTAAAATAAATTAAAAAGCAAATTAAAACAACAAAGCAAGAAAGCAAATTAAACACGAAGATTTATCAGAGTAAACGAGCCTAGGATTTTATTCTTCCCCCTATGTGATTATTACTCCCCCAATTCCTTCAATTATGCAAGCAATTAACCCGGATTATTAACCTGAGATGCTAAAATAATCATAACCCGCTTCCGCATGTATTACGATTCTAATACTCTAGATTCAATTACTATATTTCTATGCAATTAATTCTAGAACACAGCATTAAGCACAAATCTCAATAATGGCTACCTAAGAGATTAACTATATTCTTATGTTAATACCACAAAGGCTCCTCTACCACAGTTCTAATTATTAACCCGATCTTCCGATTCATGCGATTAACAATAACATAAAAGCGCATAAAGTGGCCAGTTTCATGAACTTAATAAAACAAGAAGAAGAAATAATCCGGAATTAAAACTTGCATAAAATCATAGAATTGGGTTCATAAATCCCACATAGGGTTCCAAATAAAATCCTAGAAATAAGAAAATTAGCTACTCATGATTAAAGGAAAAACACAAATAAAATAAGTCATAAACGATAAATCTATCCTTAGAGTCTTCGAATTCTTCGTCTTCGTTATTGCTTTGTTGCTCTCCAAATTGCGTAAAAAAACTCCCTAATTGTGTGCTTGGATTGGTCTTATATAGGGTGAAGAACTTGGGGAAGAAGGCAGTTTCCTTGTGCAATTAAAATCCCTTTACTGCGCAACTTCGGGGTATGGGACGGGGGTCCCATAATTTGCACTAGAACTGGGACGGTGTCCGAGCCTTGTTTCTTCAGAATTTTGATATTTTCACTTTTGACCCATATTTTCGCCAAAATTGCAGTTTTGACCCCATACTTTTCCAATTCTTCAATTTGTACCTAAAATACAATAAATCAACTTTTTAAGCACCAATTATCATTAAAACACACCAAAAGCCCAAATAAAAAGGTACGATAAAGTGTAAAAATATACACTTAACACACTTACCCTCCTCTCAAAAATGGATAGCTACGAGATAAAGCAAGTACCACGAGCCAACAATATTGATGCACACAAGTTAGCTAGACTTGGTAGTTCCATGGCAAGCATTGGAAGCCGGAAAATCACCCTCCTCACGTCTTCCCAACCAGAAATAATCTCCACCGACGGAGTGAATTGCGCTGAAGAGAGCGAACCATGTTGGATCACCCCCATTACAAACTATCTCAAAAGCGGGGAACTTCCGACTGACATCGCCCAAGCGAAGAAAATTAAGGTAAGGGCGGCCCGTTTCCTAATGATAGGTGAAGATCTCTACAAGCGAGGGTTCTCCTTCCCCTATCTTAAATGCCTTAACCCATCAGCAGCAGACTATGTGCTTCGGGAAGTACATGAAAGCATTTGTGGTAATCATTTAAGTGGAAGAAACTTAGCTCTCAAAATATTGAGACAAGGTTACTATTGGCCCACCATGCATGAAGATGCGAAAAAACTAGTGCGGAGATGCAAGCCTTGCCAAGAACACGCTAACATCCGTCATCTCCCAGCAGCACTGATGCAACCGATTGACACTCCCATACCTTTCGCTCAATGGGGAGTTGACTTGGTCGGTCCTTTTCCACCAGCAACAGGAGGACGCAAGTTCCTTATTGTAGCTGTAGATTAATTCACCAAGTGGGTAGAAGCAGAACCTTTAGCTCGCATTCGAGAAGAAGACGTCATCCAATTCCTTTGGAAGAACATCGTGTGCCGCTTCGGCATTCCCCGTTCCATTATTTCGGACAATGGAACACAATTTTGTGGAGACAAAGTCAAGAGTTGGTGCCTTGGCTTATCTATTAAGCAATTCTTCACTTCGGTTGCTAACCCCCAAGCAAATGGTCAAACGGAAGTAACCAATCGCACGATACTTCTGTTAGAGTAGGTGACCGGCAAGCCAACTTGTGGTTGTGGTCTTTCTATTTTCCTTGTAATAAAACAATCGTTTTTCGTTCGTAATAATAAAATATCTTATTTGGCATTCTATATCTGTTATCCCATGCAAGCAGCATAGATATAGTCCTAACGAGTTACTCTATTACTGTGAGTTGATCTAGTAGAATCGTGAGATAACTCAGCAATGTAATGTAACTGTTAAACCTTGTTCCTAGTCGATGGGTTACGCCAATAATGAGGATACCGGCCTTTCCCTTTTGAGACTAGCACTTAGTGTATGTGTACTGCGTCTCATCAGTCCTCGGTGTTGTGACATCGGCATACTTGAGTGGGTGCTCAAACTGGATGAGTTCACTGAACTCCCTCACCCTAGAAATCTATAAGTGGTTCTCATTCATCGAGTAATAGGTTTCTAAGATATAGTTGTACATCATTAGTCCTTAAGACCCAGACATCACCGTGACTTCACTAGAGGACCGATTGTATCGTGACCTGTCCCTGAGTCCCACCGCGGACCACACCCAGGGCCAACGTTCGTGCAATCCGAAATCTAGTGTGAAGTCTGTGTATTGTAGTAGGGGATTCGAGCGCTTG